CGTTAAGCACCCGAGATCCTACACAGTGTGCTTTATACGACAGCAAGATGATTACCACAGAATAGTTAACAATGCATGCATATTGCAAGATGTTTAACAGAAAAACAAGGGCAAAAGTTGTATCATTCATCGCCTTGTTTACAGTAATAGTACATACAATTAAGTCCTACTCTTTATAAAAAAACAAGCAAATGCCTATAGCTTTGCAGGATTTGCTAGAAGGACATGAGGGTCAGCAAAATCACATTACTCACTGGGGCAACACTGGTTTCACATTGGGTAGAAATGCTTAGTAAACACAGATTATAAAAAGCCTCAGTAACTGATATAACTGGCAAAAGGACAGAAGCAGAAATAAAACTACTATCTGCTATTTCTACTTCCAACTTGAATGACCTTCAGATCTCTAAGAGGAGAACTATCTTGTACCAACCGAAGTTTTCATCCTCATGTCTTTTGGGGGCAATTTCAAATTTTTCTTCCAGTCGTCTCCAGGCCTGTGGATGGTAAAGTTCTTGTCAGCAATAAGCATAATAACTGTGCCAACATACAGAAAACACAGCCAAACTCCTGGATTTCTAACATCAAATAACCTACTTGATGACAGCATTAGTTGTAGGGGCTGGCTGGGAATTCCCATTGTTGATTGCACCTTTCATCTGGTTAAGTTGCTGTTGTTGGGGGCCTCCTCCTCCTCCTCCACCTGGTGCTCCAGCCGGCTTCACGGAGCCCCTTAGCTGTCCATTCTGGTTGGACAAGCCCAAAATCACTGGGTTCTCTGTCCTGACAGTACTCATGTTTACTTAGCGTGACGTTTATGTTCCAATAACAATGAAACCCCTCTCTCTCTCTCTATAATATATATATATATATGTATATATGAAGTGAGTCCACTCCGGAGGGACCACTCAAAACTTAAGCTTGTCCTTCCCTCTTGAGACTTTAATAACTATCAAATGTAAATTGTTGTAATGTTTCTGTCTCAGCAGGTTCCTCAACAGTGTTGCTGAATCTGGGACATAAAGTGTGTGTTTAAAAGAAAGAAAAAAAAAAAAAAAAAGAAAACTAATTCCTCTATTCAGTTTATTAGAAAACCTATGAGCATGGGTATCTTTCAGTAAATTAGGGCTTCGCATAGATGTTTTCTGACATTGTTATTTTTGGGGTAATCATACACCAGGAGGGCTGAGCTAGCGTTCAAGTACTGGCCAACTGTTTAGCTACCCATCTTGTGTAAGCTTCACCGAGCCACTGCGTCTTTTCTCGGTTTTATCCAATCCTGAAAAACACAGGAGACACATTAGTTAGACAAAAAAACAACTACAACGACACTGGGATTCAAACGGTGTAATGCTGTGTTGAGAGAGCAGTGGAGGAGGGGAGGGGGGGTGGTCGACGTTTAAACAGCTGGCCTCACGTCAAAAGTTAGCCTAATGTTATTATCTGCTAACAATGTGGAAACAGCGTTAGAGCATCCGACCAATAACCTCAGATAAAAAACCACAATACATAATTTTTTTTAACCTCCGTTTAAAACAGCTAATCAAACTTACCAAAAGCTAGACTGGAAACGATGATTAGCTCGCGTTAGCTTCGCCGAAGCCACCGCCGTGCTAAGGTCTGCTAGCAGGCTAACACGATGACAGTAAAAAGAGAAATTATAAAAGAAGTCACCGCGACGTAACGACGGAAAGCTGGTCGAGAGCCACACGTGAATACGAAAACCATGTAAGACACACATGCGTTTACCTTGAATACCTGATGTAACCGGTTCCCTATGCGGTGTTTTTGTGAGGTGCACTCAATTTTTTTCTTTTTTTTTTTTTTAGCTGACTACGAAAGAGTCTTGTCAACCAAAGCGTTCAAGATGGCTTCCACTCGTATTTGAACCCGCCCCTCCCCTTCTCTGCAACGAATCAGCTGATTTCATTTCAACAGTGTGTCCCTGTCAACACAACGCGTTCAAAACTATCTTTTAATTATCCATGTAATGTGTGTAAATCAAATGTACATGCATCTGCTTTCTAAACACGACTCTGCTGCAGTGCTGTTGATGATTAATGCCACATTTTAGCTAATTAAATAGTACAAACATATACGTTTTACAGGCTGTGATTATTTCCAGTGGTCACTGCATCACAGTTATATTGTGCATGTCTTCTTTTTCTTTTTCTACTCAAATTAAATCTTAAAACATGGGGGAGAGATGGAGGTGATCCGTCAAACCCAAAGGAATCTGACCACAGTTGCAGAAGCCCCCACCCCAAAGTGAGACATATAACAAGATATCTTGTGTCTACCCCAGTCACATTTATTTTCTATCATGATTTATTCATTTATTTTAAATAGACAAATAACATGACAGTATTTAGATTTTCTTACGGTTAAGTAACCTTCACTCTACTGCTCCAAACCAGGGTTATAAAAATTATATTAATAAAGATTTTTTTTATATTTACAGCTGGAGAAGTTCTGCGTTAAGACGTGGCGTGTGGATAATCATGGGGGCATGACTTTTCTAGTTTTATAATGGTGCTGCTTTCAAAAGGCGGCCTAGCAGATTTGAATATGTCCCTATGGAATTAATCTGTTTTTAGCCTTTATTCGACCAGGGGCAAATCGCTGACAGCAATGCACTTTCTTTTTCAGGAATGCCCCGTTCACACTCCTGGAAGCTGCCCAATAACAACCACAGTCTGATCTGCTGGCCACAGAGCAGCTCCACTGGAGCAGTCGGGGGTTAAGGGCCTTGCTCAGAGGCTTTCCGCACCTGAATTTATCAAGTAAACGGACTAGCTTCAGTGGCAAATAAGAGACAACTGCCCCCCCAAATATCCCCAAGATACCTCAATTACATTATTAATAATGTTAGTTTTACCTCCATGATGTTTCTGTGATAAACATAACTGATGGCAGTGACACAGCTGGATGAAGTTTATGGTAATCTCACACCACCATCAGATGAGATTTGTGTGTGTCTGGGTGTGTGTGTGTGTGTGTGTGTGTGTGTGTGTGTGTGTGTGTGAGTGTGTGTGTGTGTGTGTGTGTGTGTGTGTGTGTGTGTGTGTGTGTGTGTGGTTGCATTACTGGTCTAGCAGCAATTTCAGTTTTAGTCACGTTTATACTCTTTTTAGTCTAGTCAAGTTTCAGTCGACTAAGTCTTATTTTAGTTAGAATTATCCATGACTATTTTCGTCTAGTTTTAGTCAATGAAAATTGTATTTTAGTCTCTTTTTAGTAATGCATTTCTATTTAACCCAGTTAATATAGTACAAGTACCTAGTATAGTATAGACAAAAACAAAATTTTCTTTAAGTCACCCATTTCACAAGTCAAACAAGGTTATCTTATTATTACATCTGTCTACAAGAAGGGCCAGAGTCGACTCTATTTCCTGAGGAGGCTCCGCTCATTCAACGTATGTAACATCATGCTGAGGATGTTCTACCAGTCGGTGGTAGCCAGTGCCATCTTCTTTGCTGTTGTGTGCTGGGGCAGCAGGCTGAGGGCAGCAGACGCCAAGAACATCAGCAGGATCACCAGGAAGGCTGGCTCCGTCCTGGGGGTCCAACTGGACTCTTTGGAGGTGGTGTCTGAGAGGAGGATGCTGTGTAAACTGCACAGTGTCCTGGACAACGACGCTCACCCTCTCCACCAGGTGGTGTGGCCATCAGACTGTATAACTCATCCACCTCCGGTCGCGAGAGGGACAGTGGAGACACTGTGCCCTGAGCAAATGTCATTTTTTTTTTACCCAATTTTCACTTCATCACTTTATTTAGTTGTACTGTACCATAGTTAATTTATGCTGCTAACAAATGCTCCTACAATGTTTATCACTTTACCACTGTTACTACTTTATCCAATCGCTCCTTATCACTTATTTAGTTTGTACTTATTTTATTTCAATTAATGCTGCTAAACTGCACGGTGCGTATTGTTGTATATTTTATTATACCTACGTTTAACTGCAATTTTTGATGCATATTGTCACATTTGGTTACTTGTTTTCTTTTTTTTTTCTACTTATGTTACCTGTAAGTGCTTGCATTTGTCACATTTAGTTAATTGTTTGATTTATTTTATGTTAGCCTTTATTTTATTTTATGCTTATTTTTACTCTAACCCTGTAGTACTTTACTTTCCCACCTTTGTGTTGAAACTGTTGCACAGTAATTTCCCTCAGTATAAATAAAGCTTCTTGAATCTTGAATCTACATTATTGTTACCTTATACAAGTTACCTTATATAAGAATACATTCAATTCCAGACACGGAAGACGCTCTGATTTGAATTTACAACATATTTATTTTACCTACCAAACATGTAAGAAGTACACACACATACATTTAAATAAAATAAATCAATAAAATAGCTTCAAATGACAATGCCAGAAAGAATTGACATTACATTCAAGTTTAACTTAAAGAGAAACAAGGTGCTTGAATGTTCGAGCTACTATAACATAATAAAAAAGTGCAAATAAAATGTGTGTGTGTGTGTGTGTGTGTGTGTGTGTGTGTGTGTGGGTGGGGGACTAACGTTAACCCACTGCAGCTGCATCTTCTAAATAATGCCGCGAGTGGGGATTGAGGAAGAGACGTCGCCTGCGTCTGCGCAGTGAGCTGATCAACCCCGAGACTCAGGAAACAGAAACATTACAAAATAATAATAATAATAATAATAATAATAATAATAATAATAATAATAATAATAATAGTAATAATAATAATAATAATAATAATAATAATAATAATAATAATAATAGCGAGACGAAATAACGTTATAACATTTCGTCTCGTCTCGCTTTGGTCAACGAAAATGAAGAGTTATTTTAGTTTTAGTTTTTATTTTGCAAACCACATTCAGTCCCGTTTTTATTCGTCAACAATATTGCATTATATATTTGATATAGTTTCACATGACCACCGTTTACGTTGCGTCTCGTCTCGTTTCCGTCACGTGGGAAAGGTTTGTTGACGACGATATTTAGTCATCATTTTCGTTAACGAAAGCAAAACTAACCCCAACAAAGAAATCAGCCAAGCACGTTTTACGACGGAGTATAATACACAAGAGACCAAGATTTGCCCCAATGACTCCAATCGACATTTCATATTCTGAGGTAAAACGTAATTAAGAAATTGTTTCAGATTATCCATAAAAATATTTGGTGTCCTAGTTAAGCAACAGGCTGTTACTGTAAAGTTACTGTAAAGAGGAAGTGAAAAAATTCTGGTTATTCAGTGTTTCCTGCCAAACAGCTAGAATGAGATAACTACAGGGAATATAGAACACAATCAAGGTAGTGATTTTAAAGCTATTCCAGCTGATGTAATTATAAGCTTTCATTGCATTATCGCCAGCACACAATGTGATCCCCAAAACTGTGATAAGATAAATAAAAAAGAACTTTATCCCACCGTTATATTTTACAGGGTAACCTGACAGACTACATCTACACAGACTATGACACATATTGTGAGCCAACGGTCCAGCAGACCTCCAAATTCCTGATGGCGCTGCACATCTTCATCTTCCTGTTGGGTGTGGCAGGGAATGGCCTGATGATAACGGTCCTCCTGAGACGTCGGCATCTCCTGCGAAACCCCGAAGATCTACCTACTTCACCTTGCCGTGGCTGACCTCATGCTCCTTTTTACATTGCCTTTTGTTGTAGTTGAGAATGCCAGCGGTTGGCTGTTCGGCAACTCTCTCTGCAAGCTGACGGGCTTGGTGAAATCTCTCAGCCTCATCTGTGGGAGCTTCCTTCTAGCTTTCATTGGGTGCGATCGGTATTTTGCAATTGTTCATCCCATGACTAGTATGCAATGTCGACGTCGGAGAACAGTGCACATAACATGCACTTTCTTATGGCTGGTTTGCTTGGCTTTATCAGTGCCCAATGTTGTGTTTCTCACTGTGGAAGAGGATTGGACAACTACATTGCTCACCTGTTCCTTTCATCAATATGATATCCATGCAAACAACTGGGTTTTGACCCTTAGAGTCTTGGATCACGTGTGCTTTTTCCTACCTCTGGCCATAATGAGCTTTTGTTACATAGCAGTGGTAGTTACTTTGTTTAAGAGTCACAAAAGCCTAGCCAAGCAATTTGTTCGATTGACTTTACTCATCACTCTCGTCTTTTGTTTTTGTTGGCTACCATATAATATCACCTTACTGATAAAAACTCTAGTGGACCTGCAGGTCATCATATTAAACGACTGCGACTATTATGACCGACTGCAACCAGCCCTTTTATGTGACGAAGAGCCTGGGTTTGTTACACTGTTGTCTGAACCCTTTCTTATATGTCTTTGTTGGGGTGCGGTTTCGCAATGAGCTTATACAGTTACTCTGTAACCTGGGCTGATAGATAATGAGAGTTTGTAAATATGACATGAGCTCCCCTGAAAACATGATTTGTGAAATTTTGTGGGGTCTTTAAAATATTGGCAAAATGCTGTTTTTTCCCATGCATTTCCTTTTTGTTTTTTGTTTTTTTGTTTTTTTGTATTGTCATAATCATGGATCATGTGTAAAATTAGGCTATTTTTTAATGTCTGATTTGCGCATGAGGGTGATTTAACACTATTTATCTTTAATAAAGATACCGGCCTGCATGCAATTCTTGTCCTCACCATTGAAGTGTGGGGGCGCTATGTCTTAAACGTCACTTTAAGTCAGACATCAGAAACAAAAAAAGACCGGCTCTGGACCATTTGCGCTGGAGCCGCTAAATTTCGGTGCTGAATTGTATTTACTGCCATGTGCTGACATAAGGCAAGTAGGTGTACAGGCTTGTAATAATGGATGTGTTTTGAGTCAGTCCTCGCTCTTCGGGGTCACAGTCGACCATCCTTTTCTGATGGAGCAACAACCACCAGCACCGTTCTCTTGTAATAAACTCTTCTACAACGTCAGCTGTAACTGAAATGGTTCTGTTCTACATTGTTTTGTTTGTTATGATGGAAAATGTTATAATTTTATCAGATGTTCTGACAATATAGTACCCATTGCTACTTTGATTGCATTTAAAAGATGTTTTATTTGCCCACTCAAAAAAAACAATGTTGGCTGAAATCTGTTTTTGCTTGTATGTCAGGTACTGCTAATTGAATTTAATAAAGATTTCATATAGTATACAGCAACTGTGTCCCTGTGTCAGTGTTATCAAACAACAATAACTGACAACACAATAACCAAAACTAAAATTATGGAGGACTAAAAGTGCCACAATTATGTAAATAAATACACCATTAAATAATTACTTAAATGTGTCATTAATTAATTAAAATTGGAATTAAATACATAAATGTGTTATTAAATTTGTCATTAATTCATTCAAATACCGATCAATTTTATGTAAAATACATATATAATTATTTCACTATTTAATTATTTCATGGTCCTGCGTTGCAGTGCTTCATGAATTACTTTAATCTGTCAAACTCGCCCATCAAAGTTGGTAGGCGGATCCTAACGCCTGATTGGTTACCCTGCGTATCAAGCCAAGGCAAATCAATTCCAGATAATGGATTGATGCAGAGCTAGTGAACTCATTCCAATACACTGGGTGGCGCTATTTGACTTCTTCTAAATCTGCAGTCACTCTGTGGTCAATATCTTGGTCGGAAAGTGCGGAAGTAACTCCAAGAACTTCAATAAGTTCCTCTGCTTTACTTGCTACATGCTCTGGGTCAGCAGGTCCTGCTTCCACATCCTCTGCTAAGTCTAAAAAATAAAATAAAGTGTTTCACTTTAGAAAAATAAAGTGTAGCAGCATCTTGAGTTCCCCTTTTTCTTTTTTGTTTCATATCTTGATTAACAGTCTCAACAAATTTTATAATAAATTAATATCAACACATCTTTACAATTGAACACTTTCTCTTTCTTTCCCTCTTATATCTTACGCCCCCACTTTCTGGTGTTCAGTGAGAGAATTGAGCTCTAACCTCTCTCCCTTGTTGGGCAGTGAATGAATGGGTCAGGATACTGGTTGATTGATCATATTGGGATCTGAGACTGCTTATTTTCTGTGACCATAGGCTACGTTCACACCGCAGGTCTTAATGCTCAATTCGGAATTTTTTGCTCAGATCCGATTTTTTGTTTGGCTGTTCACATTACCTTTTAAAATGTGGCCTATATCAGATTCCGGTGTGAATTTTTTGCGGTTTCAAACTGCCCCGCATGCACAAAAGAACAATAACAATGACATCAGACGCAGCACGCTGTTGCACTTAAGTAAGTGAGGTTATGGAGGAAGTAAGCATTTTCGCTTTTATTTCAAAATGTTTGTGTAATGTTTCAGGCTCCTCTTCGCCTGCTTCGTAGCCATCCAGCAGCTCCAACGGCTGACAGCTGGGTTTATCGCCCATAACACGGCTATGCTTGTTACAAAATGGGCAGGTGATGCGACCACGACCGCTTTGGTTATTGGAATCATTCGTTTCTTTAAATTTAGCTTTAAGGCTCGTCACCTTCCTTTGGCACTGCAGCCACGTTCTCCTGTGTCCCCGTTCTTCCATTTTGTTTGCTACTTTTTCAAAAACGGAGCAGTTACGGTACGATCCTTCTAGTTTCGCTTGAATTGAAGTATCTCCCCATATACTAATTAGGTCTAACACCTCACTCTCCCTCCATTGACTTGCTCCATCACTGTTCTCCATTTTGTAGGCCTAGTCAAGTTTTTAATGTTACTGTCTGTGTCTAGGGCGAACTCGCCGGCGCATAATTGTGAGAAATGTCGATGTAGATTTACGTAAAAGTCGCATCAAATCCGCCTTGGTTGTTCACACTGCAGCCGCATTGAAAAAAATCAGGCCTGGGTCTGATTCAGGACCACATATGGAAGTGGTCTAAATCTGATTTGAAAAAATCCGATCAGGGCCAGTTTTGAGTGTTCACACTATTTCTGAAGAAGTCTGACCTGGTCACTTGACCCCCAAAAAAAGATCAGATTTGGGCCACTTTTGCCTGCAGTCTGAACGTGGTCTTAGTTCAGACTTGAGTGGGTATGTTTGATGAAATCTTTGTTTTGTCTCATAGTGGCGTTTCACATTGGCACTTTTAATCAGCGCCACGGTCTCTGAACATATGAGACACACTGGTTATGTGCTCCCAGTGGGAAGAATTCATATAAATGAATCTGTCCATTCCGGGTTAAAAGCTCTATTTTCTATTAACTTTTCTCTTTTTAGAGAGCGCCATGAATCTTCTGTTGTCTCGCGCTCACTCATCTCTCCGTTTCCTCTCCATGTATAACTTCTCTTTCCCATCTGTCACTCGCCTCTCATCGCTCTCATCTCTGTATTCAGTCTCACACTGTTGTTTAAACAGATTTGATTGGCTGAGAAGCATCACGTGGCGTGGCTTAGCTCGCATGCGATTGGTCTGTAAGCTTCCTGATCCGCTAAACAAATACCCTAAAGACTAGAAAAGCTGTGCTGGTTAAAATAGAAGCGCCCAGTCAAAATTTAGAATCCCTCAATAATGAATTGATCATAGGTCTGGGTCCACATAGGACGGCGTCCGGGTCCAGACCCACACCATGGTCCACCTGTTAGTGACCTCTGCTCTAGAAAGTTTATTTACATTTATGTATTTAATTCCAATTTTAATTTATTAATGACACATTTAAGTAATTATTTAACGGTGTATTTATTTATTTAATTATGGCACTTTTAGTCCTCCATACCCCAAGGTCAGACATGCTGTATTTGTAATGCAGCAAGATATCTTGTTTCTATCCCAGTCACATTTATTTTCTATCATGATTTTTATTTACTTTATTTATTCATTTACTTTAAATAGACAAATAACATGACAGTATTTCGATTCTCTTACGGTAAAGTAACCTTCACTCTACTGGTCCAAACCAGGGTTATAAGATCCACATAAAAATTATATTAATAAAGATTTTTTTATATTTACAGCTGAAGAAGTTCTGCGTTAAGACGTAGTGTGTGGATAATCATGGGGGCATGACTTTTCTAGTTTTATAATGGTGCTGCTTTCAAAAGGCGGCCTAGCAGATTTGAATATGTCCCTATGGAATTAATCTGTTTTTAGCCTTTATTCGACCAGGGGCAAATCGCTGACAGCAATGCACTTTCTTTTTCAGGAATGCCCCGTTCACACTCCTGGAAGCTGCCCAACAACAACCACAGTCTGATCTGCTGGCCACGGAGCAGCTGCACTGGAGCAGTCGGGGGTTAAGGGCCTTGCTCAGAGGCTTTCCATACCTGAATTTATCAAGTAAACGGACTAGCTTCAGTGGCAAATAACAACTGCCCCCCCAAATATCCCCAAGATACCTCAATTACATTATTAATAATGTTAGTTTTACCTCCATGATGTTTCTGTGATAAACATAACTGATGGCAGTGACATAGCTGGATGAAGTTTATGGTAATCTCACACCACCATCAGATGAGATTTGTGTGTGTGTGTGTGTGTGTGTGTGCTTGCATTACTGGTCTAGCATGTTGACTGTAGAAACCCCGGTTGTCTACCAAACACACCCCCAACAAAGAAATCAGCCAAGCAAATATAGAACTAGTACAAACAGGAAGTACAAGCACATTTCATTACAACAGCCTAAGCTACACAAGAGACCAAGATTTACCCCCATGGCTGTAACAATCAACATGCCAGATTTTGAGGTAAGATGTAATTAAGAAATTGTTGAAGTGAATGGTAAATTGCTTTAGAGGCGCTGCAGTACTATTCTATCTTAAAGTCTTGTTATACTAATATATATTATTATTATATTATAATATACTATAATATAGTGGGTCGAAAGTTTAATTTCCAATTCTGCTGTAAATTTAATTCCAGATGTTCAAATGTGGCGTGTGTGTTAAATTTGTAATTTCTATAACATAAGAATATTTGGTGTCCTAGTTAAGCAACATATAAGTATACAGTGAGGCAGTCTGCAGTCAAATGTCCTTTAGTGGACAAATTCCAGTTAGTATAATTCCAGTCACATATATTTTCTCTCCTGATATTTAGTTACTTTAATTAATTTAATTAAATTATTTTTTTTAATAGACAAATAACATCACAGCATTTAGATTTCCCTCACTCTACTGCCCCATATACAACGTATAGTGAACGTAAAGTATAATCTCTCCAACTCTTAAAAATGTTCTAAATCTCAGCTAAAGCCTCTGGCATTTAAAAAAAAAAAAACATCTTATGGTAAGAAGCAACACGTAGCTGCCTGTGTTTAAGATTCAACTACAAGATTTAAAGTAAATTAAGGAACGTTATTTATAAACTATGGTAGCCAGAATTACTGAACCATAAAAAAATGCACACAAACAGATGTGTGTTACATGGGGTGTATATAGTTTCTTTCCTGTTGACTCACTAGGGAAATAAGTGAGGAGGAAATCCACTCTTATACATCCTTCTGTATGTGAATATTATAAGAGTAATGTAGGTTGATATGTTCTATTTTTTAATGCAGAAATAGATAGAATAGCAATTCATTTATCATCGCACTGATACAAATATAATTTAACAGAAGACTAATTTAAATAATTATATGTTTGTTTCTCATCTCAAATCGCAGTCAACATATTCCTGCCTGATGATCTACACTGCCTGTAATATAAATCAAATGTATAAACCTAATAATTATATAAAGGAAATTACATTATAAAATTGTGTTAAACCACTGTGATAGAAGAACAGGTTACAATGTAGTAGCCATTATGAACTTTAGGCCCCATAATAACAATGACAGTAATGATTGCATGTACATTTCCAGTGGTTTATACTTTTAAAATGTAAAGGTTTTGTCTCGTGGAAAAAAGTATGACGAATATGCCAATATCTAAATCTAAAAATATTTACTTCTCTTTATCCAAAGATGTAGCAACTGGAGCACAAATGCATGCTGCTGCAAATATAACATTGGAATGCAATGTAATTCAAGTGGATGCATTCAGTGTTGTAAAATTATGAATATATTTTTAGCAATTTTAGAGGGCCTTTAGTTACTTTTTGTATCAGCTAGTCCTCATCTAAAGGTTTTAATAGCTGTGATCTCTCCACCAGGTCTAATAATAACTTGGCTTATGATTGGGGGGGAAATAAAGCCATTAGTATTCCTTAGTTCATTAGTATACAGTCACAGTAGGATGTTTTGACACATTTGCCTCAAAATGTTTCTTAGTTACTGTAAAGAGGAAGTGAAAAAATTCTGGTTATTCAGTGTTTCCTGCCAAACAGCTTGAATGAGATAACTACAGGGAATATAGAACACAATCAAGGTAGTGATTTTAAAGCTATTCCAGCTGATGTAATTATAAGCTTTCATTGCATTATCGCCAGCACACAATGTGATCCCCAAAACTGTGATAAGATAAATAAAAAAGAACATTATCCCACCGTTATATTTTACAGGGTAACCTGACAGACTACATCTACACAGACTATGACACATATTGTGAGCAAACGGTCCAGCAGACCTCCAAATTCCTGATGGCGCTGTACATCTTCATCTTCCTGTTGGGTGTGGCAGGGAATGGCCTGATGATAACGGTCCTCCTGAGACGTCGGCATCTCCTGCGAATCACTGAGATCTATCTACTTCACCTTGCCGTGGCTGACCTCATGCTCCTTTTTACATTGCCTTTTGTTGTAGTTGAGAATGCCAGCGGTTGGCTGTTCGGCAACTCTCTCTGCAAGCTGACGGGCTTGGTGAAATCTCTCAGCCTCATCTGTGGGAGCTTCCTTCTAGCTTGCATTGGGTGCGATCGGTATTTTGCAATTGTTCATGCCATTACGAGTATGCAAAGTCGGCGTCGGAGAACCGTGCACATAACATGCACTTTCTTATGGCTGGTTTGCTTGGCTTTATCAGTGCCCAATGTTGTGTTTCTCACTGTGAAAGAGGAAAACAAAACTACGCTCACCTGTTCCTTTCATCAATATGATATCCATGCAAACAATTGGGTTTTGACCCTTAGAGTCTTGGATCACGTGTGCTTTTTCCTACCTCTGGCCATAATGAGCTATTGTTACACAGCAGTGGTAGTTACTTTGTTTAAGAGTCACAAAAGCCAAGACAAGCAAGGAGCAATTCGACTGGCTTTACTCATCACTCTCGTCTTTTGTTTTTGTTGGCTACCATATAATATCACCTTACTGATAAAAACTCTAGCAGACCTGAAGGTCACCATAGTAAACAACTGCGACTCTTATGACCAACTGCTAACAGCCTTTTATGTGACGAAGAGCCTGGGTTTGTCACACTGTTGTCTGAACCCTTTCTTATATGCCTTTGTTGGGGTGCGGTTTCGCAATGAGCTTATACAGTTACTCTGTAAACTGGGCTGCGGCCGTGTTTGTATGCCTTTCATCAGAGTTTGGGGTCACAGTCGACCATCCTTTTCTGATGGAGCAACAACCACCAGCACCGTTGTCATGTAATAAACTCTTCTACAACGTCAGCTGTAACTGAAATGGTTCTGTTCTACATTGTTTTGTTTGTTATGATGGAAAATGTTATAATTTTATCAGATGTTCTGACAATATAGTACCCATTGCTACTTTGATTGCATTTAAAAGATGTTTTATTTGCCCACTCAAAAAAAAAAAAAAAAAATGTTGGCTGAAATCTGTTTTTGCTTGTATGTTAGGTACTGCTAATTGAATTTAATAAAGATTTCATATAGTATACAGCAACCGTGTCCCCGTGTCAGTGTTATCAAACAACAATAATTGACAACACAATAACCAAAACTAAAATCACCTTAGAGATCAGTATTATTCTATTTTTAGACTTCTATTAAAACACAGTTATACAGAACAACTGCAAACAATCACAAATTGCATCTTATATACAGCAAGTATATATATATATTATATATATATATATATAATTCCTTTGCACAACAGTTTGGTAGTTGGAGAAAATAAATCAATGATATTAAAACAAATAGAAATTTGAGGCACTCCTCTCCTGACTGCCACTCTGTTCCCACAACAAATACACACATCTTTGAAATATACATATTTTACAGTATTTTAGAAAATGGCTTCAGATTTGTTATGAACTGTGTTACAGTGCTTTTAAATATTCAATCTTTTTAAAATCAGTTGTAACCCAAAATTGGAGGAGCATCACCGATTTATTGTTTTACAGTTCCTCTTTTCAAACAACTCCAAGAATAACATTAATGAAAAAACTTGGACACAATGGGAAGGTAACCTAGTAGACACATTTTTTTTGTTTGTTTGTTTTTTTTGTTTTTTTTGTACAGTTCATGTGAGCTGGATCAGAAAGGCATATTAGCCATACCTCCAGGGCCATAACCAATAGGACTGTCCAGAGGCATTCCACGCTGTCTGAGAGACTGGGGGCCCATCATACCAGACTGTGGGTGTGAAGGGGCCATCATGGGACCCTGAGGGGACATTAGAGGACCCTGGGGGCCAAAAGGATCCCCTGGAATTGACATGCTTCGCTGCTTAGCCTGCATCATCATAATGTTCTGCTGTGCCATCAGATTGTGTGGGTGCTGCTGGGAGGACATCATGCCAGGATATGGATTGGAAGAATGATGGAGAAGGCTGTTCGCCATCATGGCTTGCTGTTGCTGGAGATGCTGCTGGGGCACCATGCCTGTCCTTCCCATCATATGTCCAGGAGGGCACATGGGGCCCATGCCCCCACCAGAAACCATACCCCTAGAGCCCCCCTGAGGAATGCCCATGCTTTGGCGTATTCCACCATGTGAGGGGTGAGGTGGCAGCTGCTGTTCAGCCATCATATTCTGTAAGTTTGCTAAATGTGGGTTTGATGAAGGGCCGCTGCCGTGTGGAGGGCCAGAAGAAGACAGCTGTTTGAGGAGCTGCTGTGGAGTAGGTTGCTGGGATGGTGGCCCCTGGTGTGGATTTTGATGTGGCTCACTCTTTGGGAAATATTGAAGCGTGCTACTGGGCTTATCAGAAGGAATGATGCGGGAGAGATCAAACTCAGGGATGCCTGTGTGAGTGGGTCGTATGACTTCACTTAGATCCGGGCCATCCCCCATGGGCAAAGAGCCAAATGAGTCTGAAGGGTGAGGGGGGCGTTGGAGATGATGACCTTTGCTAAGCAGGTGTAACTGTTGAGGTGGTAGAATATCCTCATTAGACTGAGAGAAATTTTGTGACATTCCTCCAATAGGTGAGTGCATGGGCCCGTGAGGTGGTTGCTGGATGCGAGAAAAACCTGCCATCTGGTTCTGAGATATAGGTGAAACATTGCAGGGCCCCAGTCCGTCAGACACGCCTCCTCCCATCATGGCAGAATTCATGGCAGGCATGCCCATGTGGTTTGGGGAAGAAAGCACAGGTCCTGAGGCATCATGGGACAGGTGCTGCTGACCTTGGCTTACAATACCCATGGGGCTTTGTGGATCACTGTGGGGACCAATGGAGCCCTGGGAGACAAGTATCTGGGAGGTCTGGGGGTTCCCCATGTTTCCTGGTGACAAAACAATTTCAATTTCAATTCAGTTATATTTGTATAGTGACAAATCATAACAGAAGTTATCTCAGGACACTTTTCAACACACACTTTTTTAGAGCAGGTCAAGACCATACTCCTTATAAAATTATATACAGAGACCCAACAATTCCCACCATGAGCAAGCACTACAACAAGACCAGCATGTGACAAATCACACCATTAACACCTGAAAATACACTGCTGGTTTTCTCAACACAGTAGACTAAATATTAACTGGAGGTATACTTTGAAACAGCACTACTATAATATGAGAACTTGGGCTGATAGATCTGTGTTTGCTTCAGCTATAAAAACCTATGAATTAAAACCATTCATTGATTTTCTGATAGCATGGCAAAATCTACAAATGACGCACTGAATCAGGGCCATTCTACTGCTTCCTCTGTGCATACTTCAGAACTGTATAAAGGTGTTTTCTGTCTTTGTAACAATGTTTGCTTGTTTTCCTACCTCCAATGCTGACACCAGATAGTAGAGGTCGATCGGGCAGCATCTCATCATCGGAAGTGGCAATAGTTTTGATTGCATCGTGGTAGAGAGGAGTGGAACTAGGCATGGCATACTTGGACATCTGGGACATGATAAGAGATAAAGGATTCTGAGATGGAAGGGCATTGGGAGAGGAAGTAAATGGCATACTAGGATTCATAGATCCAGGTTGGCTAATGGGGGTAGAGTTGGAGCTCCTGGGGGGAAGTGATTGGCCTGCAAAGAACATTAAAAAAAATATTAATGTCACAGCATTACAAGGAACCGTATTAATTATGAACAATATTATCTTGGATTCAGAGTGTACCTGTTTCAGTGGAAATACTTCCTCCGTTGCCCACTATCTTACCACTGGTTGGACCACCTGGACTTGGAAGAGCTGTTTTAGGAGACGCCCACCCTGGAGAACCCACAGCCATGGCTGGGGACTTGAGTCGTCCAGGAGAGGCAGATGGAGAGTGCAACACAAGGTTGGAAGACCCCATTACCTGGGGAGATTTCATGGAAGAAGAGGAAGGAGTCCCAGCACCAGATGCAGGGGGAAGAGGGGGGTGATGCCCTGCAGAAGAGATCTGTGAGGGTGACTTCAGTCCTTGAGCGGAGGGGGAAGGTAAAAGAGTTGATGGCTCTGGGTTGAGCGATGGAGACTTGAGCTGATGAGGAGGCACTGAAGGAGAGTTCAGGGGGTTAACATTGATTGATAGGTCAGAGGGGTGCCTAGGACTGAGGTCTGCTCCCCTGAGGCCTCCAGTCATAGGCATATGACTAAGCCGTGATGTAACTCCCATTTGATTAGGACCTTGTTGGTCAGGCCCAAACATATCAGGGCCAGGTTGTTGAAGATAGGGTCCTTCCACCTGTCCTCCAGAGAAGGGGCCTTGATTGGGAAACTGGAAGGGGCCATCAGGTCCTGGGATCATCCCCTTATTTCCTCCTCTTCCATTCTGTGAAGCCCTGATTCGTGAAATCTCTCCAGGACTAAACATTTCACCCAAAGGCCCCCCTCCAGCAGGACCTCCTCGGAGCTTCTGAGATAGCATCATCTGCTGTTGTTGCTGAACATTCATCTGTTGGTTCATGTTCATTGTGAGGTTGCCCCCCAAAGGAGAATCCACCAAGTCTCTCATCTGAGGACCCCCTCCAGGAGAGCCCATAATCTCCCGGGAGCCAGGGAAGTCCATAAGATCACCTCGAGAGGAGGGTGGGCCACGGCCCATTCCCAAATTAGGAAAGTCTGGGCCGCCAGGATTGTCCATAATTCTTGAACCAAGGTTGCCCTGTTGCTGCTGTTTAGCTAATCTGTCAAGTTCAAACCTTGGAAGGCCCTGCATCTGCCGTTTCTCCATGATGCGCAACATTTCCTCATGCGCTAACGGATGTTCTGGGTCACCTTGTAAGTGCTGAGGAGGTCCACCCGGGTAGCAGCCATGAAAGGGACCTCCACCACCTATGTTGTTTGGCATATCATCTAGCCAGATCATCCCTGGCCTGGTAGGTCTTTGGGGTCCTAGACCCTCAACTGATAAAACTCCACCTGTACTACCAGGAAAACCACCTCCCCCAGGTGGCCCCCTCTGCATCTGTCCCAGGAACCTTGGACCACGGGGTCCATCTTGGTGCATGTCTATCATTCGCGGATTTCCACCCATTCCTCCTCCCATCATATTGCCTGGACCCCACTGCTGGTCTCCAGGCTTGCTGTGGTAAGGAGGAGGGGGTCCTCTCATCATCATAGGACCTCCATGCATGCCCATCTCGGTCATCATTCTAAAGTGCTGCGGGTGTGTGTGGGGTTGCATTTCCTGTTGCCGTCTCTTCTCTAGGTAGTATTCTTCTTGAAGTTTCCTCCATGCCATTTGCTCTGGTGTCAGCCCGTCTGGTCCAAGTAAAGGACCCATGTCAACCCCAGGTGAAGACAGCTGGTGATGGGGGTGTTGTGGTAGGTTATGGTGAGAGTCCATTTGAGGGCCGTCAATGGCCGGTCCACCAAGGGACTGTGTTTGAGAAATTATGGACTGGAGGGGTTCTTCAAACCTCTTCATCCCCCCAATCGGAGCCAAGGCTGACGATAGCATATTACCACTACTGCAGTTATTAGTACCATTGTCACTGTCTTCGAGAATACCACTCCTATCAGTATTGTTGTTATTATTTAGGTTGGAGGAGTTATTACTAGCATTGTTATTAGGGCCTCCTGTCTCTCCAGGTCCTCCACTTGCCCCACTGCGCAGAAGCAACCTCTCTATATCTCTCAGCGTCTGCAAAGAACGCTCCCTGTGTTCCAGCTGCTCTTTGGAGAGGCCATCTGAGTTCCCTGGGCCACTCCTCTGGCCTGTATCACTCTGTAGGTGTGCAGATAGGATGGAGGGACTCACCGAGGGAGAAACAGTAGCAACAGGAAGAGTCATACTCCCTGCACCATCCCCATCTCCAGTTCCTGGGACTGGGCCTGAAGGTGTGGCCCTGCCCCCCCCCTCTGACCTATGGGCAATGATGCTGTTATTGCTGGAGGCTCCACCAGGTCTGGTCTGAGAGGATTCATTATCAGAGTGTCCTGCTGAAGATGGTGTCCCTGCAGGATGCAATGGGCCACCAACTCCTGCAGAGGCCGGCCGTGGAGTTCCACTTTGGGATTTAGGGGTGCCTACGGGCGGAGAGCCGCTGGAGTTTACCTTCTCAGATAGGTTAGGAAGCTTCCCTGATGGGTGGCCCTGTGGAAGACCAAAGGAGAAAAAAAACAGGTTCAGGCCATTAAAATGCTGTTACTTTGCCTGCAATTACATGATTGTTATCTTTAGTAGTAGTATTGTTGTGGTTGTTTATTCCAGCTATTATTTGCCAAATAAACACATAGAGCATTTCACTTTCTCACCAAGTAACAAAGGGAGTCACAACAAGTGCTAATGGAAACAGGAACAAAGTGGTATCTGAGACCAAAATAGCTAAACAAATTAGCCTTACCACATACTTTGCACCTGTGGTCTCTACCGCAGTAAAACACTTTTACTTCCCTGTGGTTTAACAGGTTTAACACAAACTTGACATTTTCTTTAATTTGCTGCTGAGCTGTGGATGACTGACCTGCTCCAACTTGGTGCGTGGAACATTTTGCTGGTGAAACAGAAGGATGGAATCAGTCTGTCCTTTCATTACTGCCTCTGCAGCACTGTCAAACAAATAGAGCAAATTAGAAAAAATATATTATTGTGTTGGACTGTCACAATGTTGAACTGGAGAATCCACAAAATCTAAATCTAAAATCTAAAAATTGTTGATAATATAAAGATTTAATTTAGATTCTCCTCTTCTGATGTGGATAATCACATGCATGTCAGGCCTGCAAATTGTTCTCACCTGTTGGCTAGGTTGGTTGTGAAAACATACACCACTTGCTGTGAAGGCTGAGATGGCTCTGCCTTTAGACCTGGTCCCACTCCACATGCCATTACAGGACCCCCAGATTCAGACATGGGCCCTGCAGACAGCCGCTCAGTGAGTCCCTGGATAGGACCTGCCAGCACACGCTCTCCTGCGAAAAATCAGCAGCATACTGGTTTAGTTTGTATTAAGTGGTATACTGGTTTATATTTGTAATACCAGATCATCTTTTTGGCTACAGCGTCTCAACACTAGATGGAGCTAAAACACAGTCCACATCAGTAAAGAGGGATAGTATAGCACTCCAAGCTGAAATCTTCTTCCTTTCAGTGTGTCCAGTATCTGAAAACAGCTATGGATAATTTATGGCTCAACCTGTTGTTTTCAGAGAAAATAAAATGGAGCCGTGACAGGGGGTCTCTATATGTAATTCATGCAGCCTTCACAGTTGTGGTCACAATGACACTATTGTTAGGGAGGACTGTGCTACACTCAGACAACAGCAACTGGTATTGTGTTTCTCCCTCTGTGGAGGTGCACAGACTCACGGTGGGTCGCAGAGTGTGGCTTGTCTTCATCTTCCTCTGTGTCAGGTCCAGAGCACCATTCATCTCCACTGTATGGCTGTTTCTTCTCTAGAACACAGCGCCGTTTACTGCGCATGACACCCTCTGGAGGATAATATACACATATCAAAACCTGGATAACAACTGTCATAGTACTGTCCCTTTAAAGGGTATTACCAATGTTATTATCATTCACCACTAATGATAAAATAATAAATAATTTACTAATCTCAACCAATCACCGTATTTCCCAGAGCCAGAAGCCAGTGTCCTACTGTTCTAATGCAGTTTGCCTTATCTGCCTGAAGATACAGGATCCCAGCTTACAGCTGCCTTGACAGATCACTTTAAATCTGAACAAAATGGTAGAATCCCTTTAAATCAATCATCAAATGCTCTACCAGTCGTGTCATTGAAAATTTCGGATCATGTTAAAGAGAACTACAGTACGTCTCTGAGGTTTTTGACAACATTGTGAACATTGTGAAACTCAGGCTTATGCACACATGCTTTAACTGTCTCCACTGCAGACATGCTCTTGTTGTTGTGACCAGAAAGTATGCTTACACTTCCTGCAATCTCGTTGTTGCACTGTCATGGGAACAGCTGATATAAAGTTATAATACAGCAATTCAAATTAGCTCTTTTTACCTGTGCAAAAAGTGAAACAGAACTGAGCTGGCTTACAAATGTATTTTCTTAAATTAACTGAAATATTAAAAATTACACAACTGAATGATCAAAATTACCTTTCGGTAAACATAAAACACTGCAATCATTTGCAGTTCTGGTCCTTGTGATAGTTCTCTCTCTTTTCACAACAACATGCCATGCATGCTAATCACGTCTGCAGATGCAATGTTTTGAGAAGCATGTGCTGCGCCTTCTCACATGGTGCACTGCAATTATGATTTTGTGGATGCACAAGCTGCTGTGCGCCAGTGGGTGCAAACAGCTGCAAGAAATATGTAGCAGCTTTAACATTTCCAGAAGGTAACCTGCAGTAGAAGAGGCAGAAGCAACTTTTGACAGTAAATACAACAGTGGTTTTAAACTCCAAATGGTGGCAGGAAAGAAAAGTACACTGGCAATATCCCTGATCACTGTCACACATTTAGAGAAGCTATATAAACAAATCAGTGAAGATTTTCCAGGTTCATTACTCAACATCTTACTGATATTGTTGCAGAAAACTACCTCCCAAAAAACACATCAGGTAAGAGTGGGTAACCACAGACTCAAAAGAATATACAGTAAAGAAGGAAGGAAGTTTGCAGTGACAATGCAGAGAGAAGGACAGCAGAGAGAGGACTGCTACCTTGACACAGAAAGGCAGTCTGAATGAAAGAGCTGACCTCTTGTCTTCTGTGAATCTTTGTTACCAGCAGTTGGTTTATGTTAACAAGAAAGTCAGCTTTTCAGCCACGTCTGCTACTGTGTTCAGACTGTTTGTCACTGCCAAGGCTTTTTTCAGTTGGTGGCGGAGTGATTTAAAGAAAAGATGAGGGAGCATTTCATTTGAATGCACTTCTGTTTTTCTATAGGCAGAAATAAGATCACAGGGAATGAGACGGTGTGTGTGCATGTGCGTGTAGAGTGGAGGTCGAATGGGGCTAGAAGAGATTTCCCTTTAAATGATCCACCCTATCTTTCATTTTCTCCCTCTTTTAGTCTCAGTTCTCAGTTGCTCTTTGTGGTGGAACCACACCTCTCCCTCCTCAAGGTGTGTAGGTGTGTGTGTGTGTGTGTGTGTGTGTGTGTGTGTGTGTGAGAGAGAGTATTTGTGTGTTTTGTGTGTGTGCATGTTTAAAGAGGAGGTTCAAATCCTGTACAGGAAGCCCAGATGAGTTTCACAAAATCACATTAATGTCATCTGCAGTCAAACGGTCACGTGCCTACACAAGCGCTTCAATAAACAACGGCCAACAAATGCACATCAAACACTTTGTTCTGAACCACATGAACACAAATGATTACCAAGACATTCACAAAAAAGGTCTTCAATGCTTCCCACCCACTCACTGTCTCCTGCTTTAATAACAACCTCTCTGGGCTTACTAACTTTTCACAAGCTCATGACCTGTCTCTCTCTCTCTCTCTCTCTCTCTGAGCTTTCTAGAAAGCCCAAATGCTTTTTCATCTGAGACACGTCACCGCATCGCGGGCATGGCACAAACTAACAAAAGCCAGGGGGAAATTCTGACGCTTCACTGAAAGGTCAGGGCATTTCAGCAAGAGAGAAAACAAGTTATTCTGTCCTCCCAGTCCTTACATTCACTTCCTGCTGTGGAGGAGGTGAATGTACGTAATCTGGTATTTCGGGTTAAGATTTGTCTGATAGGAAGGTAAAGGAAGTGAACTTCTGCACAGTTAGAACAGAAACAAACTGTCTATATGTCCCAGATGCTGACACAGTTTCCTCTGTGCATGCATGCCTTACCTCCTTTGGCATCCGTCTCCAGTGTTGGAGGAATGGCATTTCTTGATTCACCAGAGTCAATGGAAACGCTCCGCTCCCGCTTGGATTTGGTTTTCAGCATCCCTCCAACACTGCTCACCGATTGGCTGACAGCCTTCAGCCCAGGGTTGCCGGGGGTAATCTGGTTGGTTTTGACTCCATGGCTCCCGGCACCGACGCCCTTTGGACCCAGGTGGCCAGCAGCGCCCTGCTGCTGCTGAGCCTGCTGGTTTACACTGGGTATCTGGGATCGGCTGTCACTGGTGACCTGCTTGCCATGATTGGCCAGTTTATTGTCTGGGTGCATTTGATTGGCTGGTGATTGAAGTGGAGGTCTGGTATGGAGAATAGCTGTGCCTGTTTGTCAGTGGCGCTCACATTGCTTGCAGGCGACACTGATGGAGAAAAGAAATAAATCACTATCATCAGTATTTCAGACAAAAAGGCGAAAAAGACAAATTCAGAAAATGTCTCTACAAGGCCTGATCTGATCACAGCACCAAGTTTATAGATACATAGTTTGGTTGTATATGTTTTAGCCTATTTTTTCTAAAAGATAAACCTATATTGAGCCTGTACTGCGTGGATGATAAGCACCTTTTAAAAGAGCCTGTTCACTCACCTCATCTCACCCAGACGCTCAACTGATACACTGCCATACTGTTCTCCAGGACACTTCACTGACCACACATGGACCTGGGGGACACCAAGAGAGTAATATCATTAGTGGAGACAGATAGCAACCTTTACAGTCAGTGCTATCTGTCATTGTGTGGGTCCTGAGCCTGTGGGTCAACATCAACGTCATGAGCAAAGACAGAAAAGAGAGAAAAGATGCCAAAAGACTGATATGAGACATGGGCCAAAGAGACACTGTGAGGTGACTGTTCCTTTAAGGGAAGGAGAGAAAAGACTGAGTTTGAGCTGGGGGAGGGACCTGCTACTCAGAAGTAGCTCAGTAGTGTCGCAGGTCCCTCCCCCTACCAAACACTTTGCAAACCACAAAAACTCCACCACACATTCCACAACACTGTCTGTAGCAATACCTGTCTCTCCCTCCCTTACGAACACACTCATTCTCAGTTTTGTACTTTGAGTTGAAACACAAACAGGCAAAAACTCATTACCTGCTTATTACAGATTTAGTTTAGGCCTATTTTGACACGCCACCAAACCTCAAGGGTTTGTCAGAATTACCCACATTCAGTTTTAACCTATTTAATGTGACCTGAGAGCCTAGATGAGGAGCCTCAGCTCTCAAATACCCACTTCTAGCTTTACTGCTAATGTTAGGCAATAAAAGCAGCCTTAAACTGATTCAACCGTAGCATTAAAAATGGAGGACACTTCCTTGTACATTAGGCTTCACTCTGGGTTCAAGTCCATAGCTGCAAGCTGACGCCCTCTTGACACTGCCATCTGCCTGTGTCCATAACCCCAAGCTTCTGATTTTGACCTTTGCAACTGGGGTGTGTTTCTGCTTTGTTGCCGTTGATGCCACAAAAGCTGCCAGCGTGCGGAGCATTAAACAGTTCTTCAGTATTTGCAGGTCTCAACATGACCCTTCCACACCTGTTGCTGGTGAACAATAGTTGGTCAAAACAGTCATCACAGCCTGTTCAAAAAACATTCAGCCAAGATATTTGGCAGGCATGATGCAGATTTCATGTGAACACTTCCACCGGTTTCCATTTTTGGCCGATGACACAATCCCACCGCTGCACGCGGCCTGCGCAGTCAGGTCAACTGTCCTGCTCTAAAAGAACCATCTGTACCACTCACTCACCTTGACAGGTAATGGTAAACACAATGCTGCAATTAGTCATTAACTAACATAGGCTCAAGTCAGCACAGAAAGGTGCCTTGTTCGCAGGCTGAGGACTTCATCACTCATTAACTCCAGCGGGGACAGTCAGACGTCGCTCCTGTTGACAAAGTGTGACTCACTTGCTTTGTGCAACACAAAGTGGAGGCACACTAATCATATGGTGAGTCGCTGACCTTCGAGTGGACAGTTAAGAAAAGATAGGCCTATCTAAAGTGAATACCAGTCTAGTAGATATCCAAGAGACTCCCAGTCATTTCTACTGTAGCTGATATGATCAACAAAAGGAAAAACCTGAAGAAGTCACATTGGGTCCAGTTTGGGCTGTAAAAGAACGTAGAAGCAGGTACAAGCCAAGTGTCTAGTAAATGTTGTGTCTCATTTGAACATTTTGTAAACCTGGAGTTAGGCCTTGCACTACCATTATCCCCACTCCTTGCCACGTGTATGGAGCCTGTATTTAAGTAATCAGCCACTAGCAACATTACAGTGACTAGAACAGCGTTTTCAGACTGGATGGGTTTTTACTTGAGAGGGTTTTTGAGGGTATGAACTGTGTATGAAAAAGAATACAGCTACTCAAACCAATCTGCTCTTCATGAATATTACAGCATGTAATAAATGTTATTCCTTGACCTTCCGGGAGAGTAGCTAGACAAGGTGCTGGTGTGACTAGCATTTTTTTTGGTTAGCACATTAATGTTTAACTGAACTGTTGTGCAGTCACATCTCTCAAACAAAGCAGGGTTCCCTATTCAAGCCAAGAAAGTGTATTTGTATAGTGCTGTTTACATACAGGCTTCAAAAATTTTTTTATTTGGAAGAGTCTCAAGACCCAGTTTGTATTGCAACATCTGGAGAAAAGTGCTTCAGGGCAGTGAAGACTAAAGAATACAATTAAAAACCCTAAACCATAATGTTTCCAGAGTTTATTTTAGATTGCACCCTAATGGAGGGGACACTGAAGGTCTGCTTTAAGATTAAAATAAGTAGAATTTCAATTGAGTATCAATTGAGTACAAAGTAAGTAATTTGACGCTACAATTATCAATCTGAGGCCTATGAATCCTCAAATCCTTTGTCACCTAATATACGCAATAATATGTTGAATCACACAGGTATGATGCATCCTTTTAAAACAACTGGTTGCACCACTAAAGACTTAGGTGTGTCATAGTAAGAGTGTGAACTATGTGGATTGTGTATTGTATATCTGCACTTAATTTAGATCAGTTTGTGTCACTTTGACATCTTTTTTTTCTGTTTAACCCAAACGACCTTAAATCCACGTTGATTTGATGCTGTAAAACAGAGAGAAATGCACAGGGATTCAATGCTTTTTAAAAAGGTACAGTACTGTATACGGAACAGCAGTACAGATACGAGCAAAATCTGACTTGCATGTTCTGCCATCAGCTCTCATTTTTGTTTATAAAAAGGCGTCGACTAATCAGACACACCTTAAGTACCAACACTAAACTTAATTGGTGTCATTTGCATTCATTACATCCTGACCTCAACACATGTAGATAACAAGACATTTAACAGCTAAGCCTGAGAAATGATTAATTATGGTGACATTTGAATGATGGAATTAAATCAAATCAACCTGGCTGCTATGCAATTAATCTGCAATAAAAATCAAGGTTGTAAAACGTTCCTTAAGGGAGGTGTTCTCCCTTTCCCTCCCCCTTATCCTGTCAAACAGTCTCTGCCAGAGCAGGTTTGAGCGTTACATTTTCAGTCTAGCTTTTGTGTTTGTGTTGACATGGTTGCAGCCCTCCATCTGGCCTCACAGACTGCAGCTTTCCTTCTCAAACAGGGTCTCCTGTAGTTCTCATCTAATGGCTTAACAGCTTCTTCAATGGCAAGAAAAATGTTTTGCTCTCATTATTTTTATCCGCAGGTCCAAAATGCTGATTGTACTTCTTCACACAACCATTTAAGCCCTTCAACCAATAGATAAGATAGATAGGAACAGAGGTAAAATGACACTAGATGAGGAATTTCTCATTCAAGCTGAGCTGATATAGCCTTCAGGCCCCTGCAACCCTGAAAGGATAAGTGGCAAGAGATAATGAATGGATGGATAGATGAAACCTGATTAAGACCTGGGTCTTACTGTGCAAAAGAGCATGCCGACAAAGTTTGGAAATGAACAAACCCCAGTTTAGCTTGTTACGTAAAGGGCACTGACTCACACATACCTGGTGTGCACAGTGACTGACTAATCAAGGCCCTGCCATCACCCATACTGACTAGCAGGTGACCAATTACTGTAAAAACATATGAAAAAGGCACAATTTTAATAATTTCTCTTACATTTCTCTAAATAATTACAGCTAAAGAAGGGTGACATTTCACTCTGGGATTTACTCAGATGCACACCAATCAGTAGATGACACACACTAGCCTGCAAGCTCACAGCAGCTAGATGGAAATAAGCACATCATTCATAATAAAGGTGCAACAAAGTGTGAGTAAAATATAGAATATAGAAAATAATGATGCTGAACCACTCCACACAATGTCGTGAAAAGTGAGAAAATGTAACTGGGAGACCACTGGGCAGCCACAGACCAGAGCCAACTATATGTCTGCTGTGGTGGTCATGCAGGGGGCCCTGAATCATAGCAGTACAGTCCCTGGCCACACCTTCTCTATACCTACAGGTGCTGTGTGACAGGAGAGATAAGGGGTCTGTCACAAGGAAGAATTAAGACTATATCCACATTAAGATGGCTAAATTAGTAAACGCATCTTTTTCTTTTGGTTTCAGCCCTCCATCCAGACTGAGAAGGCTTTTTCTGCCCCCAAAATGCAGCTTTTCTAAAACGGCCTCCATGGTGTATAAATCTTAAAATACTGGCTGGGTTTTTTAGTGAGTACGTGGTAAACTGAGCTTTTGCACAACAATGACCATAGCCAGCCCAGTGAGGGTTGGAGGCTGTGTGGCAGTAAAGTGAAGACAACCTTTAATAGCCTCCAACTTTCTCTGTGATGGTGTGTTTTAAATACCAGTATAGCCGAATACAAAGCCGAGCTGTTGTCATTAACCTGGATTATGCTAATGGATCATGTTGCGATTATAAAATGAGGGTTTTATCACAGCATGTAGTGTTTATGGGCCGCAACTAATAAATGCTTCATACTCGTTCAGTTTTCTGACAACAGAAACAGAAACATATGTAAATGCGAACAACTATATTGTGAATTCGGCTGTATTAAACCGCAGTATGCGTGACCACAGAGAGCAGGACGACACTGAATGAGTGTGTGGAGCCTAGTGTAGATAACTTTCTGTCGTCTCTAACTTTTTTGATACAGCCAATCATACAGAACAGCTGTTGTCATTAACCTATAGTTAAGTTGATTTTGTCAAATGACGTTCTGACCATGAAATAATGATTTGGTCAGCTGGGCTGTCCGTCCCACTCCTCCCACGATGCTGGCTGTGATGCACAGCTCTGTTGGTTGCCAACTGTAAAGAGGGTAAAGAAGAGATGTTGTTCATGTTGTTCAGGCGTTTCAATGTGGACGGAGGTCTCTACAAAAACTCTGTGGGTGTGGATTGATCAGATTTGACTGACACTGGCCTGGCAACATGTACATAAACAACTCAATGAATTAAGGGTTTATTTCGACCAAACCAGCGTTAGTGATTGTTGGGAAGACTGTGGAAAGACTTTCATTTCAGTCCACTATTAAATGTGTTTACGATTATCTGCTAGGTACAATTGCTGGTTGGCTGTAGTGCCCATCGCTTTGGTCTGAGATGCTGGCACTAAGTTATGCCTAATAGTCAGTAGCAGCCTGTATACACCTTTTTCAGCTTTTTCTACTCCATTCAGGTCCAACAGAGTCAGGGTGC